TGATCAGTCAGCATTATTGTACTGAGAGTCACCACAGGGGGTCAATCAGTGTTGTAACAGTGATTTCCAAAATGGGGAATCAGTCAGTGTTATTATAGTGAGTGTCACCACGGGGGTAGGCAGTATTATTATAGAGAGAGTCACCATATGTGTTCAGTCAGTGTTATTATACTGAGAGTCACCAAGGGGGGTCAATCATTGTTATTACAGTGAGTTCCAATACAGGAGGTCAGTCAGTGTTGTTATGGTGAGTGTCACCGCAGGGTGTCAGTCAATTTTATCATAGTTAACTGTTGCCACTGGGGGTCAGTCAGTGCTTTTATAGAGAGTGTCACCACGGGGTGGTTCAGTCAGTGCTAGCTTTATGAGTGTGACCATGGGGGATCAGTCGGTGTTATTTAAGTGAGTGTAGCCTCAGGGGGTTAGTCAGTGTTATTATAGTGAGTGTCACCAGGAAGCGTCAGACAGTGTTATCATTGTGAGTGTCACCATAGGTGTCCATCAGTGATATTATAGTACGTGTCACCACCAGGAATCAGTCAGAGTTATTATAGTAAGTGTCACCATTGTTTGGGGTGGCGGGGTCAGTCCAGTATTGTTATAGTGTGTGTCACCATTGGTAGGGGGGTAAGTCAGTGTTGTTTTAGTAAGTGCCACCGCAGGAGGTCAGTAAGTGTTGATATAGTGATTGTCACCACAAGGGGTCAGTCAGAGTTATTATAGTGATTGTCACCACAAGGGGTCAGTCAGAGTTATTATAGTGAGTGTCACCACAAGGGGTCAGTCAGTGTTATTATAATGAGTGTCACCATGGGGATGGGGTCAGTCAGTGTTACTTCAATGATGATCACCAGAGGAGGTCAGTCAATGTTATTATAGTGAGTGTCACCACGGAGTGGGGGTGTGGGCTCAGTTGGTGTTATGAAAGTGAGTGTCACCCCGGGCTGTCTGTCAGTGCTATACCAGTGAGTGTCACCGGGAGGGGTGGTGGGTTAGTAGGTGTTATGAGAGTGAGCGTCACCATGGGCAGTAAGTCAGTGTTATTATAGTGAGTGTCACCATGGGATGGTCAGCCAATGTTATTTTAGTGAGTGTCACCACAGGAGGTCAGTTAGGTTATTTTATGTTGAAATAATTGAGAGTCACCACGCGGACGTCAGTTAGTATTATCCCAGCGAGTGTCACCACAGGGGTCAGTCAGTGTTATTATAGTTATGGTCAGCAGGAGAGGTCAGTCAATGTTATTATAGTGAGTCACCACATGTGGGCTCAGTAGATGTTATCATAGTGAGTTGTACCACGGGAGGGGTCAGTCAGTGCTATACGAGTGAGTGTCACCAGGGGGGAGGGTCAGTAGGTGTTATTATAATGAGTGTCACCACGGGCAGTAAGTCAGTGTTATTATGGTGAGTGTCACCACAGGGGGTCAGTCAGTGTTATTATAGTGAGTGCCACCATGGGAGGTTCAGTCAGTGTTATTTTAGTGAGTGTCACCACAGGAGGTCAGTCAGTGTTGATATAGTGAGTGTGACCACGGGGTTGGGGGTGGAGTGTCAGTAGTTGTTATTATAGTGAGTATCACCACGGGGGGTCAGTCAGTGTCATTACCGTGAGTGTCACCACAGGGTGGATGGGGAGTGGGTTCAGTCAGTGTTATTCTAGTCAGAGATAGTAGGAACTGCAGATGCTGGTGAATCCGAGACAACAAGGTGCAGGGCTGGATGAACACAGCAGGCCAAGCAGCATCATAGGAGCAGAGAGGCTGACGTTTCGGGCCTAGACCCTTCATCAGAAAAGGGGAGGGGAAGGGGGTACTGAAATAAATAAGGAGAGATTGGGAGGCGGATAGAAGATGGATAGAGGAGAGGATAGGTGGAGAGGAAACAAACAGGTCGAAGAGGCGGGGATGGAGCCAGTAAAGGTGAGTGTAGGTGGGGAGTTAGGGAGGGGATAGGTCAGTCCAGGGAGGACGGATAGGTCAAGGGGGCGGGATGAGGTTAGTCGGTAGGAGATGGAGGTGCGGCTTGAGGTGGGAGGAGGGAATAGGTGGGAGGAAGAACAGGTTAGGGAGACAGGGACGAGCTGGACTGGTTTTGGGATGCGGTAGGGGGAGGGGAGATTTTGAAACTTGTGAAATCCACATTGATACCATTGGGCTGCAGGGTTCCCAAGCAGAATATGAGTTGCTGTTCCTGCAACCTTCAGGTGGCATCGTTGTGGCACTGCAGGAGGCCCAGGATGGACATGTCTGAGGAATGGGAGGGGGAGTTGAAATGGTTCGTGACTGGGAGGTGCAGTTGTTTATTGCGAACCGAGCATAGGTGTTCTGCAAAGCGGTCCCCGAGCCTCCGCTTGGTTTCCCCGATGTAGAGGAAGCCACACCGGGTTCTGCAAAGCGATTTCACAAGTTTCAAAATCTCGCCTCCCCCTACCGCATCCCAAAACCAGCCCAGCTCGTCCCTGCCTCCCTAACCTGTTCTTCCTCCCACCTATCCCCTCCTCCCACCTCAAGCCGCACCTCCATCTCCTACCGACTAACCTCATCCCGCCCCCTTGACCTGTCCGTCCTCCCTGGACTGACCTATCCCCTTCCTAACTCCCTACCTACACTCACCTTTACTGGCCCCATCCCCGCCTCTTCGACCTGTTTGTTTCCTCTCCACCTATCCTCTCCTCTATCCCTCTTCTATCCGCCTCCCACTCTCTCCCTATTTATTTCAGAACCCCCTTCCCCTCCCCCTTTTCTGATGAAGGGTCTAGGCCCGAAACGTCAGCCTCTCTGCTCCTATGATGCTGCTTGGCCTGCTGTGTTCATCCAGCCCTGCACAGTGTTATTCTAGTGAACGTCACCACGGGTGGTCAGTCAGTTTTATTATGGTGAGTGTCACTATGGGGGTCAATCAGTGTTATTATAAAGAGTGTCAGCACCGGGGTCAATAAATGTTATTATAGTCAGGGTCACCATGGCGTGTCAGTTAGCGTTATTAGAATGATCGTCACCGGGGGGAGGATGGGGGTCAGACAGTGTTGTCATTGTGAGCGTCACCACGGGGATTTCCATCAGTGTTAATATAGTACATGTCACCACTGGAGTCAGTCAGTGTTATTATAATGAGTGTCACCACATGGTGTCAGTCAATTTTATTATAGTAAGTTGTCACCACGGGGGGTCAGTCTGTTTAATTGTCGTGAGTGTGGATCAGATAGCGTTATTATAGTGAGTTTCATAATGGTGGGGGTGGCATCAGAAGGTGTTATTACAGTGAGTGTCACCACGGGGGGTCGGCAGTGTTGTTCTAGAGAGCAATACCACATGCGGTCTGATGGTTATTGTACTGAGAGTCACCATGGTGGGTCACTCAGTGTTATGGTAAGTGTCAACGTGAGTAGATCAGAGATAGTAGGAACTGCAGATGCTGGAGAATCTGAGATAACAAGGTGCAGAGCTGGATGAACACAGCAGGCCAAGCAGCATCAGAGGAGCAGGAAGGCTGACGTTTCGGGCCTAGACCCTTCGGTTTGGTTTAGTACAGTGAGTGTCACCACAGGAGGTCAGCCGGTGTTTTTATATTGAGCGACATCCACGGGGTGTCATTCAGTGTTATTACAGTGAGTGTCACCAGAGGAGGTCAGTCAGTCTTATTGTAATGCGCGTCACCAGGGGGCACCAGTTAGTGTTTTCATAATGAGCGTCACCCTGGGGGGGTCAGTCAGTGTTACTGTACTGAGAGTCACCACAGGGGGTCAGTCAGTGTTATTACAGTGAGTGCCACCACAGGGGGTCAGTCAGTGTTATTATAGTGAGTGTCACCCCGTGGTTAGTCAGTTTGTTATTGATAGCGTTACCACATGGGGTCAGTCACTGTTATTGTAGTAAGTGTCACCACAGGAGGTCAGTCAGTCTTTTTAAAGTGAGTGTCATCACAGGGGGTCAGTCAGTCTTTTTAAAGTGAGTGTCACCACACAGGGTCCGTCAGTTTTATTATAGTGAGAGTCTGCACGAGGGGTCAGTCACTGTTATTGTAGTGAGCGTCACCACAGGAGGTCAGTCAGTGTTAATGTAATGAGCATCATCACGACGGGTCAGTCAGTGTTATTATAGTGAGTCTCACCACAGGGGGTCAGTC